TGCAGATTGATCCCTCCCAATTCTTTACAGCAATTTGTCTGCATGCATGAGCACTCTCCTAGAACGAGTGGAAGAGTAGATGGGGATAAGTATCATTTACTAATGCACTACTACCGTGTGTGTGAGAGAGAAGAGAGAGAGAGAGTTTAAAAGACGTGGGATATAGGGTGTGTGTGGAATTGCCTGACAATTTATTGTGTGTGATTGAGCCTATTTGTTTGGTTAATGTGCTGTTTGGGGATTCAGCTCTTCACTAGTGGGACAACTTAATTGGACCAGCTGTACTATTACCTCCTGAGGGATTCTCTTAATAAATTAGAATGGCTAAATATGATTAATGATGTTGCCAGTGAATGCACTGGAGACTGAGCTTGTCGTGACACAGTCTCTGCTGTGAAAGTCCTATACAGTATTTATACATGGGAAAACCATGAGCAGTTTTCTAAGACAACACCTGGCAAAACGTTTTTGCATTTCTTATTGGACAAGTTCAGGTAGTCCATCCTTGTTTCAGTCAGTTTCCTTCCTTTTTTGGTGCCTAATGAATACAACCCTGTGTTGAGGTTCAGGACAGAACCGGTATGTGTTTTTTCATTTTCATTTGTATCAATCTTTGCTCTGATAAGTCATTACCTTCGGTCTGTCAACTGTTTCTCGGAAAAGCTACATTCTCCACATTTTTCATTTTCAAAGCCTCATCCTTTTATTCACTCTGCATGTATTCAGATACTGTGATTTTTCTCTCCACTTAATTCCGGCCTTGACGGTAACTGTCCCTCAGCCTGTAGCACTCTCTTCCATCTCCGATCCCTCTATATATGCCTTGGATTGTTCCTGTGCTCAAAGGAAACCCATTGGGAGCCATGGTGAAGACTTGCTACACAAGCGTTGAGGTGTCTGCCATTTGAAGAGAACTCTTCTTGACCTTTGACATTGCGGAGGAGCAGTTAAATAAACACTGTTTTTAAATGCAAATCGCTTTTGGCTAATTAATGTCTCGCACATCTCCTACTCTTGTCGAAGTGTTTTCGTAAAGGCAGCGGTCGTGCACACAGAATGATACTGTCTCCTGTGGCACTTGATTCAGATGGAATGAGGCGATTAGAATGCGTGTCCATGATATAAAATGATTGACATCATGAAATTAGTCATGATATCATGATTATTTCCCTGTGTGTGTATCTCTCTTTCAACAGCAATCCCTTGTTAATCCTAGCGATTTGTTTTTAAATGGTGTTTTACTTGTTTCAATAATTTGTTAAATTTCTGCGCAAGCATACGATAAAGTATAATTTTCATCATTGGTCACAGGAAGTCATCCTAGAGCAGTGGGACAGTCTGATGCTACTCCACCCCCACTGCAGAGGGAAGCCTTGTGTCGTGACATGAGAAAGCACCACCGCTGCTGCTGCGTCACTGAAAGGCCATTGGTTCCTCCTGCAGCTGCTGAAAGATCATTGGTCCTCCTGGCCATTAATCCCATCAGGATCATGTGATCAAACTAACTTGGCGTTCTCACCATCCGTCAGGCCGCAGCAGACGCAGAGCAAATTAGAAAAGTCACCGGCGCTTGAAGATGCCCTTTCATTGTTCCTGTCTTTCTTTCTCACTCTAGACTACCACTTTCACTCCTTCTCTCTTTGTCTGCCCAATCTCTCCATCTCTTCCTCTGTAATTCATCACCACGTCTTTAAGAAAGGCAGATAATGAAGGAGGAACATATTCCTTGACTAGATGGCCCAAGTACTTTTAGCTGAGTTTCAGCGCTGCAGCTGACGCAATGCCAAGTGTGAACCCCTTTTAAAAACAGCCTTGACAATGCAATGTCTTACGGAATGCTGAATGCTGAGAACTACAATGCTGATTGAAGAACCTGATTTTCTTTTGTTTTACCCTCTGGCAGCCTTGTCTTTGAACAACAACTTGTCATGGAAAATCTGTCTGCACTTTAGTCTGAACTGACTGAAGCCGGCTGGAACTGACTGAAGCCGGCTGGAATTCACTGAAGCCGGCTGGACTTTGAACTCACACTGGGTCTCTAGGTTTACTGAATGACTCCTTCACTCACACCGGGCCTGCAGTGTTGTTGGTGAATGCCTACTCTAGCCAAGCTTTGACTTGACTGACTCAGAACCCCGTTTTTTGTTTGTGGCTCTGCATTAATTGAACCACTCCAGAGGGCTTTGAAAATAAAATGAAATGGCATTTCAGGATCTGCACTACCTAATCAGCTTTGACTCTGATTGCTTCCGCGGACCCTGGGGGGTGTGGGCGCTCAGGACGCACGGTCAAGTGCGTCTGGTTATCTCAGGCTCTGGTTCTAGGATTTACAGTACGTGCGCTTTGTATCGTTTTGGCGATCGTGATGATCCTGCTGCGGCCCTGAGCGTGTGTCTGTCGAGCGTTGACGTCCATTGTTTCCACCCGTGTGCGTCATCATTAGTAGGCAGGCAACCCTGCTTTAGTGGTTTTAGTCCCCCTCCCAGCAGGAGTGGATGGGGAGGTGAGACAGAATGGAGCATGGTTTACAGTCTAATTACCCACACTGCTGCTGGGCTGGAGGAGGACACTAAATCACCAGGTGCTTCTATCCTATCCTCCCCACACAGACCTGGGTTTAAATAGTATTAGTTTCCTTTCAAATACTTTTGCGTGCCTGACTGAGCCCTCCTGGAGTGCCAGATGGTCAGGGTTTGCACCTTTGTCCACTATTCCATTGGTTCCACTGCACTAGGCATGATCAATCAAGCACAGCTAAAGTATTTAGCAGAAAACAAATCCTATTTGAATCCAGGTCGATCTTTCCTCCCCCCCCATCCCAGCCTTGCTCTGTCTGGCAGTGAAGCAGCATTCTATTTGGCTGGGATGGGTTCCCATATCAGGGCATCTGCTGTGTATGCATTGTGTTTCTCTTATCCAATATAGCAATGGGCTCAAGCCTCATGCCTTTTTATTGAGCTATTTGCCCACATGGCATTGGACACAAGTGCAATCAGAGAAACCAATTCAACCTAAACCAATCCAACCAGCAGATCTCATCGCCTTTCCCGGATTGCACACCGTTTTGTGAGATTGACTAGTGTTTTCCAATCATTTATTTTTACAGCACTGTTTGTATTTGTTTGTCTATACAAATATAGTCCTATTGATATGGGCCCAGTCAGTACTCGCTAGGCTACGTCTTCATTCATAGGATTTGAGATGTAGCCTAATGTTTTCTGTTGTGTATGTGAGGTTAGATGGAAATGTCAGCTGGTTCCATCATATCAGTAAAGCCTCCATGGGCTTCGCCCACTTTTCAATCTCCTATCCATCTCTCCATCCTTCCGCTGCCGAGCGAAGAGTTGTCATGGTTACTGCGGCTTTTCCACGGCACCACAACACAGTACCCTTTTGACATGTCACAGGGTAAAGGTGTACACACACACACACACACACACACACACCATCCTTCCCCTCACTACTGCAGTACCCATTCACATAAATCCTCCCCCTGTCTGTTTATGGGGCTTTTCCCACCTCATTCATCTACAGAACCACTGTAATTCAGTCACACACACAAACACACACACACACACACACACACACACACTGTAATAATGTATCGCTGCCCAGCCGAAGGAGGTTCCATTAATCAGTGTGTGTATGG